TTTAGATTTTTTATATTTAAAATGAGATGTTTATTCTGTATTTGATTGTGTTTATCTGCAGTTAGTTACACGAATTCAAATATGGGATGAAATCGGATAGGGATGAACGGGTTTAAGAGTTTTTAAGAGTTTTAAGAGTTTTTAAGAGTTTTAGCCAAATGCTTTATAATATAGTATAGATATACATGCATATATATATACATATATATATATATATTTATTTACTTTTTATAATAATAATTTAAATTAATATCCAGGAATTATAATAAATAATTAATTGCAGGATGGAACTTCTCATTACCTGAAGGGAGTTGTTCTTCTACTATGCTACTTCATCATTGGGGCTAGTTTTTTTGTTTCCGTTTCTCCAATAGGTATAATTTCTCCTTTATTTATTTATTTATTTTCATATTTAAAAGTTATTAATTATTTCTTTGAAATTTAAATCCTTTGGCTAGCACCAGGCGACGATGTCGTGACAATGGGACTTGAATCCTCGAATCAGAAGATCTTTAGAGTATGAAAGGTAGTTGATTCCGTCTGTATTATAATTCTCTAGTTGTTTTATCTGTTTATAAATTATATATAAATAAATATTTGATTTTTCTTAAGACTTGTGTCTGACGCCATGTTATGCTTGTGGCATGCTATGGCCTAATGTGTAGTTTTTTTAACACGATATTTGGTTTTTCTTACATTCTTAATTTCATACTTGTTAGTATTAAATATAAAATCTAATTTAAACTAATTACTATCAGTGACTCATTATATAATAGTAGAAAACATATGTTTATATATATATATATATATATATATATATAATATGGCGTCTTGAAAAACGTAATGTCCTTGCCATGACTCTTATAACGTAAGGCTTGGAATCGCCGGTATACGACACCTTACGTCATTTAGAAACTAGAACCTTGGTCATATGTAATATATACTCATAAGGCCTGTTAATTTAAAAAAATTGAAGAAAAAAAATCACACACACAAATATATATATATATATATATATATTATAAATACAGTTTCTTTTAATTTGTTTAATCATAAAAATTTAATAATTTTTAAAATAATCTAAATAAAAAAACTATTTCTATTCTAAAAGATGCAATTGGAAAGGATAACTCGATCTTTTATTTAAATCACTTTAAAATACTTGTAACCTATTTAAATAATCCATATCATGTAAATTATTACAAAAAAATTTATATCACCTCTAAAATCAACGGTTTATTGAATCGAACAGATAAAGAATGTTCGTTCTCTCTTTTAACCCACTCCTATACATGTATAGACGAATAATCGTGTGAGAAGAGAAGTTATGATGAGAAACATAAGAAAAAATCTGAACCCTTGCGCACTTTTAATCTCATACCCATTAATTATGCTTTAGAACATAATTGATCGGAATGCACCTCATTAATGTTGACATTCAATCAGAATTGATCCAATTGTGAAAATCTTTTTTTATCATTCTCACCATAACTTCTCTTTTCACCGGAACCCAACCCCACATATATCATATATATATATATATATATATATATATATATAATATTTTTGAATAATTAATGAAAAATTTAATAAAGAATTATTGTGATATTTTCTTGCAGGGTATTTGAGTGTTGAGAATTGATCAATATGCATTCATACATCATGACTTTGTTCTTGATTCTTTGGTTGAAGCTGGACAGAAATATTGCATTGGCTTATGCAGTCTTTGCTTGTACAGTACAAGTTCAAGCAGCCTGGAGGTCCTTGTATTCTTATTCATCCCATCAGTCTCTCTCTCTACATATATATTATATATATATATATATATATCATTTCCTTTGTAATATGTTGTCTTAAATAAGGTAATCATGTGATCATTAATTAATGTTTGAAAAATAAATATAATCCTTTATTAATATTTCTTGTATTGTATTCCTCTTAATAAATATTTTTCTTTTATTTTGTTACGAGTTCAGATAGCAATTTTCAGAGGTTAAAAAACTTTGGTGGTCAGACCAAGGACCACTGTACAAATTCTTGTTTTCTAGCTTTATATTCGTTAAACTAGGGGCAGACCCATACTCTTGCAGAGGTCACTCTTTCATTCCTTTATCGTCATCTTAAATAATTTAGACCACGTACCGCTTGTTAGCGTGGACCGTAGAGTCACATAAATTAACGTTCTTACATAACGTTAATATATGTTAACGTATTTTAGAATGTAACTTTGGTAAACTTGTTCCAATAAGGTGGTTCTTACGAAACTTTGAATTTCTTCAGAAACCCAACCTGGCCTTTTAAACTAAAGGTCGTTTACTAAATATGTACCGGGTAAGCAGTTATCAACAAATACTTACCGGGTAAGCAGTTATCAACAAATACTTACCGGGTAAGCAGTTATCGACAATAGTCTAAAGGTCGTTTACAAAATACTTACCGGGTAAGCAGTTATCGACAATAGTCACCCTACAACAAAATTGGTTTATAGGACACTACCGATTTCTAAGCGTCCTAATAGGCCTCTTTATAGGACTTAGTTTATAGGACCACAAAAAAAAATACAGTGTCTTATCTAAAGGCGTTGTAATAAGTTTATATGACGTTTTTTGACGTCGTAATAAGTTTTTTAGAACACTTTTAATATAAAACGTCTCATTAGCAACTTTATAGGACATTAATTGTCCTATAAAAACAAATGTCCTATAAAAAATTGAGTTTATAGGACACTTTCTCAAAAGTGTCCTATAAAGTTGCTAATGCAACACTTTGTATTAAAAATGTTCTAAAAAACTTGTTAAGACGCCCAAAAACGTCACATACACTTATAAACCCAATTTTGTTGTAGTGGATCACCATTCTTACTTATCTTAGTTGGCAACATTTTCGGATATCAAAATGAATTGATTATAAGCGTTTATCACTCCAAAAGTGCTTACCGGCCGGGTAAGACTCAACTTTTGTCTTCTCTCTTTCTGGGTAAAATTGTCAGTCGTTAGTATGCTTACTCGGTAAGTTAATTGACCCAACCCGATAATTACCGTTTGATAAACAACTCATAAGTAAAATTAGTTTTATATATAAGCAATAAAATGTATGATTATACAAGTTTATGTTTTTTAGGCATAGACGTCTAATTTGCCTTTCTGTTTCATGTCAAAATCATGGGTTGGCATGTTAATTTTGAAGGTCGATTGGCTTCGGAAATAAGATATTGACACGTATGTTTTAATTAGGACGAAGAGAATGAGAACTTTTATTCCCTTGGAATAACTCATTTGAGACTTTAATTTATGACCTTTTTTATACAACTTTTTATTCAATTATTCATATAGTAAAGCCAAACACCTATATATGCATATAAATATAAAAACACTAGCTACTATAGATGAGTTAATCAGACCCGATTAAGACATCAATTTGTACTTGATTAAGTCAAAAGATGCGATCAACGCTACAATTGCACAACCGATATGTAGGGGTGGAAATTACCCATATTTTTTCCCTAGTGCTTGAGTAGTCTTGATTTGTTTAATTTTTACATCTTGGTCATTTTTTGTTTGTTAACACCCAATGATGCGGACAAACTGATCACTTGAATGTATGTAAAGTATAGTCCTCAACTTGGAAATGAGTAGGATGTCGTGACACAGGCTTGGGTGATGCTAGGGAACTCGAAAGGGTTCTTATAACACCAACTAGAGGTGGGTTTGCACAATGAGATAGACTATAACCATTGGAGCAGTAGGCAAGCTAGTTGGTTATATCATAAACACTTAAATTATTTGTGTCTGCGCATTCCATCAAACCTAAGAAGGTTAATTAAGCGTCATCATTGACAAGAATAAGAAGTTAACTATTCGAGACTTTTACAAGAGGTGTTAGTAGTTGTCGCGACTTGGCCTCTTGAAAGGGAGTGCCCACTCCCACACAATATAATGAGCACTATTCTTGATCAAGTGTTCACCATGAAATATGGGGAAAACCCATACCTACATATCTTTTATCCAAGTCTTTTGTTAAAGTTATTTCACCAACAAACCAACCAACTAATTTTCATCCTCTCTAATCGAAACTTGTAAAAGGAAGTTGATGAAAACAATAGTGTCTTGATTGTTCAATCCCTGTGGATGCGATTCTGGTTCTTACCAAACTATTACTTGAAGTGACAATCAAAGTGACCAGTGTACACTTCCGATGTCCACCGTGGACTGTTTACTAACCCACTATGATGACACTTGTTTCGCGCATACCATTTGTCTTGTAGACTAAAATTATACTTGAATTTTTTTTTATGTTGTCTAACGTTGTTTTTTATACTTTGAGTCATGTCATGCATGTCATTAGATATTGGTTGGGGTAGTAGTGTCCAAGGTACTAACAGAGACCGTCGGGAACAGACAGGTGCTAGAAGTAGTGGATCGGTTAGACTAGATGAGTCAAGGTCTATAGGGGGTCTTGATATCCTGCACTCACCTATGGATGTCCCCGTTGGTTTGAATATCCCTAAGGCTATGCATCTCCCATCGATTGAGAATCGGAGGATGAACTCTCTGCACCCGTGTAGATGGTTGTGAGGATCTCGACCTCTTCAACGATCGTTAGCCCTCCTCACTCTCAAAAAGCGTTGAATCTCTATCCACCATACCAAAGCCTCCTCGATAGGCGTTGGTACAAGCCTCTGATGTCGCCTCCTTTGAAGCTGATATGTTTAAAACTTATTAGTTTACAATTTGACTATTAATATAATTCACATATTTAAGTATTTAAATTTGACAAAAAAAAAAAAAAAAACTTACTTCGTCCGCATCAAGGAACTCCAAATGATGGCTAGACTCCTATTCCAGCAAATTGCCCTCGGTATCATGCAATCGCAGATGTAAAACAAATTGGAATAGGGAAATGCTTCGAAAACCAATATCTGTGAATTACAACATCGAAGCACGTATAAGTAAATTGTATAATCTCAAGTAACGTAAAACTTATAAATATTTAATTAATATATAGTAACTGAATGAACCTTAAAAGTAAAAACAATTCTCGTAAGTGTTAACTTCAATAGAGTGTTTTCTAATCACAATGTTCATCTGGTTGGAAGTCGTTCCCAAATATATCCGTATTGCAACAAGTGCACGCTAACCTCAAACCACATCCTGTCCTGTGTAATATATGGGAACACCTAGGTCTATAATTAAGTGTATGTGGAGGAGCAGTGAGTCTCCATTTGTGATGCATATGTCCATCCATGAACCAAGATAGGTCAATCTAACCAAGGCTAACATGCTAGCAAAACCAGTGAACTTGCCCAAAATATGAGTAGCAACCAATATTCGGGGCTTCAAAGTCAACGAGGCTTTGTAAAAATCACTTTGCGTATGAATTCAATGGTTATTATCGTTAATAATACATTTATATAAATATAAGACATCACAAATATATAAATGACTTCAAATAAACAATAATTCATTATAACATTAGTTTGAACATGTATGTCGGATTTTTGGTATATTGATGTTAAATAAATATTTGACTTGGAAATAACTCTTATATATAATCTAAAGTGGTATGCATTTGGGGATAAGTTAATGAAGGAAAGGCCCAAGGTTTTCAGCAAACTTTGCGTCCCTGAAAGAAAATTCATGCCCTGAGCTGAGATCAAAGCTGGAAATTACACAAACATCAGGAGTGTTGGATGAATATCGGACTTGACTTTGTTTTGGGAATGTTGACCATCCTTTCGCCTTAATTTCGCTCTCTCTAACTCCCTCACTTTCGGCCAAATTCACTTAACAGATCTCATCTCTCTCTTAACCTCCTCCAAAACCTCACTTTCCCTCTCATTAAATTTCGGCCAACTTAACAAAACATTATTATACCAATCAATTTCTTTCAAGATCATTTAAGATTTGGATTAAACTTGTGGATTTAAAGTCAAGATCATCTTCTCAATCCATCTCCTCACCATTTTTTGTTAAAATTTACCCTCATTAGTGAGTTCATCCTAACCTTTCTAAACCTTCCTTTTTTTTAAGTATATAATATTTATATACGGCAAATGCAACAAATAAACTCACACACTCTCCTCACCTATGGTGATCGGTTTGAACCCTTGGCCTTCTATGATACCGCTAGGCCAAAGGCCCTTTGGTAAACCTTCCTTCATGTGAAAACCTTTCATATTAGCCCCCCTGAGACTTACCTCTTGATGTATTTTGCATCTTTATAAATTTTGACCTATTTTGAGTACTTTGGGTGGTTTTACCCTTTTTACTAGAAAATAATATATCTTCAAGAATGGGGTTATAAAAGTGTGTTGGAAGTATGCAAATGTTATTTTAGGACTTAAATCTTATGATTTAAATATATTTGATTTTTGTACATTCTTGGGAGAGTTGTATGTAAAATGGTCATATTTTGGAAAGAGAACATACCAGTACTTGGGGATGAAATGTTTTGAGTATCTTTGTAGATTTGGAGTTTAAGCTAATGTTTGGTATCTTCTAGCTTACTACGTGATTTGAAGAGTTCACTTAAAAGGATCTTGTTTCGAGGTTCAAATCCACACATTTGGGAACTAGAGTTTGTGTTTGGAATCTAGATTTAACTTACCCTAACCAAGTAAGTTCAAGTTGATTTGTGAAAACTTGTAAATGCCAAAAATACTTATTTTGGAGTCTTAAAAGTGCTTACCTTGATATTTGTTAAATATGTTGATTATTTGATGAAGTTTGCGCATATGGTACTTGATTTAATAAAACTTGAAAATGCATATATTTGGGATATTTGAGTATTTTAATAAATAAATAAATCATAAGAGTATTCTTTTGATGATTTATTCTTCATATATGATTATTTGATATTAACATACTTTTGACATTTTGATTTATAGATCATTTGAAAAATGTATATGCTCGAGTTATTGGACACATTTTGGGTATCATTA